GTGGAGGGTGTCCCTGCCCATGGCAGGGGAGTTGGAACTGGATGATCTTTAAGGTCCCTTCCAACCCTAACGATTCTATGATTCTATGATTCTACTTTTAAGGACCAAGCCGCACTCCCATCAGTTAACACAAGGCAAAGAAGCGTCTCAGATTCATTTGAAACCTACTCTAAAAACCTTTCTGTTGATTCCCCCCGTGCCTCAAGGAAGAAAGTATTCTCTTCGGCACAATCTTTATTAAATAAATTAGAGGAGAAAGACAGTTACTATTGTAGTCTGCTAGATTATATTTAGCTTTGACTATGAATAAGACTTCAGTAGACAAAACTTCCCCGAGGAGATCCAATTAATGGCATTGCATTATTCTGTGCTGGGGAAGAGTAGAGGTTGTTCAAATGAACTTTATGTAAGGTTCCTGTTGTTTGTGCCTTCAGTATTTGCAGTTTTGAGACAAGATAAACAGTGACTGAATGATGAAAGCAAAGGAAAAGTATCTAAATTATTAAATATCTGGAGTTCTAAAGCGAAAATTCAATGCTTACGACATGGAAACAAGATGATAAGAAACTGTGCTCAGCTCTCTCAGATGTTGAATGCTCCAGAAATAGCTGAAGAACTAAAACACATAGAGCATCAAAACCTTCGCTAATGAAAGGCAAGTTAAAAATATCAGCTGTTATCCCTGGAAGACAGCAGAGCTAAAGGACCTAAGTGACTCTAATGGACTAAAAAACCAAAAAGACACCCCAGTGGGAGCCTGCAATACTTGTTATTTTGTAGAAATAAATCTACTGAAATAAAAGTCAGATGAAGAAAATCTTGGTTTTTACTAGACCCCAGAGTTTTCAGAGAAAGATCAGATCGCCCAAGACCTTGGGAGCACAGCCTGGAACTGAGCCTGAGCATCGGTTTGGGGGAAAAGCACAAAGCTGATGGTTCCTGCTCCGTAACCTGGGCAGTCTGTTGAGCTGCTCTCCTGAACCCGTTATTTTTACACTCTTGGTGTCTCAGCAGTCAGCACTTTCTGCCTTGTTATCAAGTGCATGCACAGAAATGCAATGACAGGCTATGTCTACGACGACTCCGTGACATACTTGATCTCCAGGGCAGCTGAAGGGCCATAAAACTCAGGGCAGATTGTGATAAATGTTCAACGTGCTGCTTGAGGCACACAGCTGTAATATGATGTAACTGAAATATTAGCCTGAATTACTGTATCCTACATAACAGGCAATTTTAAAAGAAGTCTTCTTTAAAAGAAGCATTTGTTACAGCAATGAATATGTTTGAGCTTGTTACCAGTTGGTGATAAAAGTTAGAGAGTGAAATAGGACACAGAACCATTTCTGAGATACACAATTTTCTCTCCTTTGACTTCTCCTTGTGAATATTAATACACATAAACAAACCCAACCAGCTTATAACTAGTCAGAACACAAGGTGTCAGAGGCAGGATGGGGATCTGTCTTCTGCAGCTCAGACTAACGTATCTCCTAGTCCAGGTCATCTTCCCAGTAAGAATCATAGAATGGTTTGGGTTGGAAGGGACTTCAAAGATCATCTAGTTCCAACCCCCCTGCCATGGGCAGCGACACCTTCCACTACACCAGGTTGCTCAAAGCCCCATCCAACCTGGCCTTGAACACTGCCAGGGATGGGGCAGCCACAGCTTCTCTGGGCAACCTGTTCCAGTGCCTCAGCACCCTCAGAGTGAAGAATTTCTTCCCTACATCTGACTGAAATCTCCCCTCTTTCAGTTGAAAGCCATTGCCCCTTGTCCTATCACTACAGGCCTTTGTAAAAAGTCCCTCTCCAAGAAGAAATAACAAGCTGCTGAGTTATGGGGCTCCTCAGATCACCAGCTAGTTTCCCATAAAGCTCAGTCCCTCTGTGCTCCTCCCAAAGCCACTCACCCTGCCAGATATCATCAGACAAATCCCACCCAAGCTAGGAAGTCACCAACACCAGTCCCCTTGGCACCCTTCACACAGCTGGAGCCGAGGGTGCCATTCATCCTATCCCAAGGGAGGCATTTCCATTTCATCAAGTGACTCACACCCTACAGAGGCTCATCCCTCTCTGGTGACAAATGAGAGTCTAGGGCAACTAGCTCAGATGTGGGCGTCATGACCCCTCGTTGCTGGGCTAATGTCCATCCCTGCAAGACTGCCCTTCCTCTCCCCTTGCTCATGCCATCTCACTCCTAACGAAAGTGCTCTGCCACCAATCTCTGGAAGAGCTGCAAATCCTCAATGTCATCTTTCACCTCTATTGACCTTCTTTAGTGAGGCTCACTAGGGTTATGACACATTTTGGCAATCACTTAAAATATTATTGCTCACTTCCCTATCTCTAGAAGACGATGAAGATGAATTAATGGGTAAAACATGAAGCCTTTTGTAGCACTGGGGTTTTAAATCAGAGGAATTCAAAGGAAGGAAAGGATAAGAAGCCAATAAATTATCATGTTGTAACCTGAGTCCTCAAAAAGGTGATCACTGTTTCCTAAAAACAAGTGAAACTTCCCCACCAAGAAATTCAGTCAGCCCACTGAGTTATGAACCAACTCTAGGAGCTGACCTCAATCCTTAAATTGTAAAACCAAGAGAATTTGATCCTACTTTTAAGCAGAAATCTCAAGGGGACTGTAACTGCCCAGCGACACTATGCAGCCTGCAGACTTACCACGGTCGGGCATCTCCCAAACTGTGCGTTAACCGCTCGGATGCGAAGTGGGCAGAACGAGGTGCGTGGCAGGCTGTACCTCAACAGTGCTGCAAGCTTCTGTGGAGCCTCAATGACAGCTCAGAGAAATGCTTTTTCTAACAGAGGAGTGAGGAAGAAAAGCAACAAAGCAAGAAATCTATGGCTTTGCAGAGATTTTTATCTCTTGGATAAACACACGTCTCCAGCAAGAGTTTAATTCAGGTTTTCTGGAAGCATCTGAGAACTATTTGAGTCACATCCTAAAAGCCACCAATGGCTGAGATCACTGCCAGCAATCCCAATTCATGTCCTCTGTGATGAGCACTGGGCAGGGGGTGGGAGAGAGCCACTGCCCTGGCAGACCAGTTTCTAGTAACAAGAACAATACTCAGGTACCACCTAAAATTTGTGGCAGAAGAATAAATGAAAAATAAGTCTCAAAAGGTTACTTGTGCCTACTCAGCATTACTCAAGGAGGGAGGCCAGATGTTCAAGTGATGGGTACAGATGTGGCCCATCACCTGAAACCACAGACCATCCTCTGCTGCAGGACCTGCTGGGGCACAGTCACGGCCCCCACGCCAGCGCCCGCTGCAGAAGGCTCAGCAGCACTCGGTGCCCACAACGCTGAGGCACGCAGGGAAGGAGAATGGAAAGGCGGGGGTGTGAGCACGGACACACCGGCTACGCGTCTCGGCAAACGCTGGTTACGGGTGAGTGGCCTTCCTTTGAGGGCAGCTGTGCTGTGAACAACTCCAGGTTACACACACAGTACCAATAACCTGTAGGAACGAAATGACAACAGGAGAGCCACGGGACAGAGTGCTACGCCGCTTCCTGGGGGGAGGAGACCACTTCAGAGACCCCACTGCACTTGCTGAGGATACGGATGGATGCGTGGGCACGCAGCGGGTATCAAGGATGGAGAGGCAGAGGACATCAGAGCTCGGGCTCTGGCAGAGCACACTTTGCGCCGGTACCTGACGATCTGAGAAGTGCAGGACCTCACTCATCCAGGCTACGGCTCAAGGAAAGAAGTTTCTGAAAAACTGATCATACCTTTTCATGCCCAAAATGTGGTTTTAACTAATAACCTGCACGCTCACAATAAGGACTTGAGGCAAATGACCATTCTCCTTCACAGCCCCGGGCAGTTCCGGGGCCGTACGCGATCCGGCGCGCATCACGTAGCGCTTGCAGAACAGCGTGTTTAGACCCAACACTTACATCAGTTTTGGATTTGCAAGTCTCCTGCCTGTCTTTTAGCATCTTGTCAAGGACACCACTCCTGCGCCAGACGTTGAACACGGTTTTCCCATGCTGATATCCTACTTCCTGGAAAAAAAGAGAGTTGGGGGAAAAAAAAGTAATTAATAACTAAAAAACCATTATGTGACATCGTCTGCAAATCAGGAGGAACTCCAGAAGTCTACCCCAAAGCCAGGATGTACTTTTGCTGCCTTCCTCCCTGTTCAGCCGAAGAATTAGGGGAGCAATTAAGCAAACAAGGTGCTATTTTAGATCCAAACACTAACTTGACTTCCGACCCACAGCATGCAGTGAGAAGTGCCACCTGACACAACTATTTTTACAGCAGTGGCTTCAAGCAGGCTGCTCACAGAATAATGCCAAGTCAAGAGAAGCTTAGGACGCACACTCATATGCCCTTCCAGTGCTGGCTCTTTCTTTGGAAGAAGGTAACACCACAAATTAATTTGTGTCGTCTTCTCTCTTGGCTCAAGAACAGCCAAGAAAAGAAAAGTTTCCTAGCAAAAAAAAGTTGTTGTAGGGCACCCGGTTCCAAAGTCTCTTGCAGTTAAGCCAAGCCAGGCAGCACTGACCATGCAGCATCACTTTGCTGGAGCAGAAGTGATGGCACATGGACAACACAAAACCCACAAGCTCCACATTCCTCTAATTTAAAAGCATAAAATAATTTGCACTTGGAATAATAACTTGGCACCGTGTCCTTAGCATGGAAACGACTGGAGAAAAGAAACCGATTGCTCCAAGTTTTACTCTTTTTCTAACAAGACAGTAGAAAAGGTGTTGAAAAATCAAACCAGGGCAACAGGCGTCAGGAGTCCTGGATCCTATTTCCAGCTCTTGCGCTGGCAGCACGCACTAAACCTCAGGCTCGCGTGGCACCTCCTGGTGCTGGAAGCAGCCCTGGCTGAGCTGGTATTGTCTCTCCTCTGGTTTTTGGACCAGAGTTCAAAGCACGGGAAGCACGCCGGCTGGAATTCACCTCTCGTAACCCATCGTAGCTCCTCAGCCCAGGGTGGATGTGATTACTCGGGAAGAAGAGGGACCTGACGGATCTCCAGCTGGCTGGGTCAGATTGATCCAAAATAACTGCGAGAACCTGAGCTTCAGGAAATGACGTGCAGCCAACTTATCGCCCTGGGCTGATACAGAAGTGGGGTTTTGACAAGAAGAGGCGCTTCTTGTTCTTCTGAACGTGCTGGATGGTTATATGGTGCCCATTTCTATTTTCTGTAAAGTCCAGGTACATAGCTGAAATAAAAAACCCCACTACTTCATAGCCTGTAACGCTAAAGGAATGCCTAGATCGCCCCTTCCTTTAAGGTCAGCACAGTTTAAAGTTTCCCTATGGACAAAAGTTATTTAGCAACACTGCAGGGAATGAAAATCCAGGAGGGTGCTGTGCCTCAATACCTGCAGTGTCTCACAGAAAGTGACATCTTTGAGAAACTGCACTTTTCTCAAGTTTCATTCCACTGAGAAAAATTTGCCTGGCATCTTTAAATCGCTTTAACAACCCCAAATTAGACAGAGACAGAACAAGGATTTGACAGCTTCCTATCTGTTACTGTGACAGACTACCAGACCCATTCGTCAAGGTTTTCGGAACGGCCAGGGCACTCCATCTAGCGAAGGATATTATTTATCGGCGAAGTCTTAGATCCCCGTTGGCAGACAGCACTGTTTGCCCAGGAGCTCTGAGACATCAAATATCCTGGAGGAAATATTTATACTGGGGAAATCAGCTGGTGGCTTGGAAAAGCTGCTGTTTGGTCCAAAGGACTCTCTCAAATGCAAATCTGCAGGGCTTAATTGTATCACTGGTTTTGTTTAGTATTTATAAAACAGTCTTAGAGAAATCAACGTGCAGCCTACTGAGTACTGTTGGGTCTCACTACATCTAGAAAGGAGACTGACTTAAAGAAAAATTAGTGGTGTGTTTGGTTTTTTTTTCCAGCCCAGCAGAAGAGCAAATCTATGCAGGAACACCTGAATATGGAAGACGCCTGCAAGGCTGATGCAGGCAAAGAATGGAAAGAGGCAGGAAAATAACTTCCTCGTCAAGAGACGAGGAGCCAGAATTGCTGTCGTTACCTCAACCTGGGCAGAGACGTTTTTGCTGTGGCTGCAGAATTTTGTCACTAAGACAATTCAACTGCACATCTGGAGTCAGTTCTTCTTCCCACGCTGTTCTCCGATACACAAGACTAAATCCCAGAGACACGTAACTTAGTGCTACCCGTTTGTAACCTGGTGGTGCCCTTTTTACAACGTCCTTCCTTTTAAACTGAAAGAGGGCAGATTTAGGTTAGATATAAGGAAGAAATTTTTCACTCAGAGTGGTGAGGCACTGGAACAGGTTGCCCAGAGAAGCTGTGACTGCCCCATCCCTGGCAGTGTTCAAGGCCAGGTTGGATGAGGCTTTGGGCAACCTGGTGTAGTGGAGGGTGTCCCTGCCCATGGCAGGGGGGTTGGAACTAGATGATCTTTAAGGTCCCTTCCAACCCTAACCATTCTATGATTCTATGATTCCACTGACATTGGTGCCATTTTCCTGATACTCCATCGAGCGCAGAGGAATCGCGGATGATACGTTTTATTAATAGAAGTGCTGAAACACTGACTGAGCCGGAGATTTTAGCATGCTGCCCTCCGTTTCGGTGATTCACAGCCTCCCCTACAGACAACTTCTCCAAATCTTTCATGCCATAACAAGCTACATAACAAAGGGAGAGAAATGACACCACTTGGCAAACCCCAACTGCCCAAAGCAGCTCCGACACTCAAGAGTTTTTACCAGGCAGCCGAGCAAGAATTGTCATGCAACAGGGCGAGGCGACCCATCCTTTCACAGGTCATTATATAAACAAGAT